CCCCCTCTCTCTCTCTGCTTCCTTTCTTCTACAATTTTGTATAATTAAAAGCATAGCCATTTTGTCAAAGATGCATCAATTAGCAGAATTAAGCTAATTCTGTGTTCTTGCATATATCATCAAATCAGCTTTCACATCTATTATACATTATGTGAATAGCCAATAATAGTGCTATGTTGACCTTTATGCCACACAAGTGTCAATAAGGAAAAGGTATTCAACTCATTCAAGTATACAGTGTTGCTTAACAAACAGTGCTGAATGTAAACAGAAGCACTGTATACACTGTACATTGACTACACATACTGTATCACTGCTGTACATACAGATGACTGTGCTATAGTATTACTTTATTAATATTTTTCATATTAGTAATATAATAAATATTAATGTCATTATTAGAAAAAAGATTATTTATTTTATTTATTTACTATTATTATTATTATCATTGATGTATCAGACTTTCAGTGTAATTACTTATAAGGTAGGCAGTCTATGCTCATTAATTAGATATCTTGTTTTAATTTGTCACAATAATTTGACAGTTTGTGGGTCAGTTCTTAGAATTCTTGCTGTATGTGTGTTGTCATAAGCTACTCAAGTGTGCTGCATGTAGTGTACTGATGGTGACTAGTGACACATTCTTGTATTCAATGAGCCGTTTGTCACAGCATAACTACACTATGCATTTTTGTACAAACACAGAAAACGTGCAAGAATGATTTGAAATTTAAATTTAAATTTAACCAACGTTTATGAAACACATGTTGTTGTTGTCCTTCAGTATTCCTAGTCTTTTATCTTTTGTCTCTCTCTCTCTTTGTCTTATACTGTTAAGCTGGAAATAATAATAATAATACTGAAGCTAAAAATATTTTAAAGATGCACCTTTTATATTTATGTTCTATTTTTAGCATAATACTCAATCAAAAAGTATTTAAAATTATCTTATTTTTTGTAGTTGGTATTTCGGGGACATTGCTCGTGCAGAAGCAGAAAAACTTTTAATGATATCCACCAATGTCCAGGGGACGTTCCTCCTCAGAATAAGCTCCTCCCAAAAGGATGCACTCTCCCTCTCGCTCCGTGACGTTGATGGAGTAAAGCATTACAGGATAAGGAAAATGGATGACGGAGGATTCTTTATAACTACTAGAGCAGTTTTTAATACACTTCAGGTAGGGAGAGGATAGTGAAAAATTATGGGAGAAAGAAAAAATTTATTGCTCAATATTTTTGACTTTTTTCTTTAATTTTTATAGGAAATGGTCAGACATTATATGATGGAGGCAGACGGTTTGGCACAGCGTCTCTCTGTGCCCTGCCCTCGTGTTAATCAGCCGAGTACAATCGGTCTCTCGTACAGAGACGAATGGGAGATTGACAGATCAACCCTCCAGTTTAATAAGAAGCTTGGTCAGGGTAACTTTGGTGAAGTATGGTCTGGACTATGGAATGAAACCACTCCTGTAGCTATCAAGACTCTGAAACCAGGTAATGCATCTGACAAAGATATGACATTAAACAACTAGAATCACAAAGTTAATGTACCTTAAGTAGACTTCTCTTTTATTAATCAGTTTGCAATAGCAGTAATATTTTGCCCCAAAACTATTGTATACAGTCAGCTACTGGTATAATAATGCAATGGTGTATGTGTGTTTTTTATCAGTGTGTTCATACTTGATTGCATTAGTATCAACACAGACAGCCTCAATAATGTGTGATGATTAAATTTCCTCCCAATGCATGACTGGAGCTGTGTGCCTTGCCAAACTGAGGTCGTATTTTCTGCCAAAAGAATGAGCTTTTTTATAACTTCAATTGACAATGAAATTGGCACATATAATATGAGAAAAATATAGTTTAGTATGGTATACTATTACTATGTATAGCTAACAGTTTTATTATCACAGACAACTTATAGACAATGGTCAGATATCTGTGTGATCAAATAGGTATTGACATGATAAGGATATTGTTAAAACTTGTGCTCTTTCCCTTTGTGTGTGAAGATATGCATAAAATTCTGTCTGCTTTCCATAATAATGACGATTACAATAATACAGTACTGTAATATTTAATGCAAAGTATGAAAGTCTACAATTGTATCATAAAATTTCTGACGTACTAAATGTAAGTTTGTGTTAAGTAGTTAAATTCAGTTACTAAAAAAACTAGCAAAATCTAGTAAGTCATGCTGAATTTCTTATAATTATACAGTAATTAATAATGGGCACAATAATTTAATGATAATTTTTCTTATCTGATACACATAGGCACAATGGAAGTGAATGATTTCGTGAAGGAGGCACAAGTGATGAAGAAGATACATCATCCACACTTACTTCAGTTGTATGCTGTGTGTACCCTAGAGGAGCCCATCTATATAGTAACGGAGCTCATGTCTCACGGGAGCCTCTTGGACTACCTGAGGAATGGGAAGGGACGCTACGTTAATGTTCACCAAATGATTGACATGATAGCTCAAATATCAAGTGGTAAGGACATTAAATAACATTAATGCAATAATTTTGATTTTTATTATATTCAGAATATACCCTATTGCGGAAATATATAGGGAATTTAATTTGGCGATTTGGCGTTTTCATAGCAAACCTGCCATTTTGAGCCATTATACACATGCTCAATGGCACGTGGCCAAATTAATCACCAAAATTTAGCAATTTGCCAAATTTAACTCCCCGCCTCCAAAATTTCCCGCTATACTGTATTACATATTTCAATCCTATTGCCACTATCTCTTACTATTCCTGATTTTTTAAAAGTTCCTAAAAATTCAATTTTTATTGGAATCTTGCAGCTCAAAATTTTACATGGCAGATATTTTTGGCTGTCATTACTATTATCTTGGCTGGTAGTACTAGTTTATCATTTTAAAAATTGCTTGTCATGTTGATAGAGGAAAATGAATGTATGCAAAAGGACATTGGTTTGATTATTTTCCTTGTTATTTTCATTTTCATCCAAATTGATCTTTTAACCATCTCGTACCTTTATTATTTCTTCTCCCTGTAATTATTATTTATTATCTATTTATTGAATTTTACAAGACTCAAACATGTAGCATACAGAGCTGACTCAAAAAATTTCGGAATGAGAGTGCCTTGAAGGGCAATCAGTAATTGTCTTTTTTATTCTTCCATTTGTCTTCTCTTCTTATACTTTTCTCTCTTTCTCTCTCAGGAATGGCCTATTTAGAAGAGCACTCTTACATACACAGAGATTTAGCTGCAAGGAACATTCTAGTCGGTGAGGGTAACTCCTGCAAAGTGGCTGACTTTGGTCTTGCAAGAGTCATAAAGGAAGACATATACAGTCCCAAAGAAGGAGCCAAGTTTCCAATTAAATGGACGGCCCCAGAGGCTGCTCTCTATTCACGTTTCACAATCAAGTCTGACGTGTGGTCATTCGGTGTGCTAGTGGCCGAGGTTGTGACTAAAGGAGCAATGCCTTACCCTGGAATGACCAACAGACAAGTGAGTCACGCAGTCTTACTACCACTGTTAGATCTAGAGGGAATTTAGGAGACCATGTATGCATATTTGGTCTAGGTCTCCTAAAGCTTCTCATTTTTCAGCTTTTAGTTTGGTCTCCCATATTTGGTTCCTAGTGTAATTGCTAGGTTGCCATCAGCTCCAATCTTTATTTGTTGTGTTTCTACATGTTTGCTATAATGCTGTAAAGTTTAATAATAATAATAATAATATTTAACCTAAGCATGCCCTTTAGTCTCCAATATTTATTTAAATTGGCCTCCTAGAAGTTTATTTCTAGATGTAACACAGTGCTTATAACTGCTTTAAAAGGTTGTAAAAAATAGATTTTTGACTCAAGTTTTATCCTTCTCTAAAGGTACTAGAGTCAGTAGAAGCTGGTTATCGTATGCCTAAACCGGATACATGTCCTGATCCACTGTACAGTATAATGATGGAGTGCTGGAGACATGAACCGGATGACAGACCAACCTTTGAGTCCCTCAAGTATCGTCTTGATGATTATTACGTCTCAGCAGCTGAGGGCTCTTACCAACAGAACGTGCAATGAGAGAGACTGAGAGAAAGAAGAGAAGACTCTCTTATTTCTGCTCTATTAGATTTATTATTATTATTTTTATTAACCTTTTTTATCAACTCTCTCTAGCAGTGAATCAAATGTTGGAGACAGTATTATAGTAATAGTATCATAATATCTTTGTACCAGTCATATAGTTTGTTCTTGTTGTATGTATGTGTATTGATGTTGAAATGAATTTTATGTCATTTTTTTTATTCTTTGAATTTTGAATCATAACATGTGTCATGCATTGTGTACAAGTATTTCTTCCTTATTATTATTATTATTATTATTATTATTATTAATATTATTAATTATTAGAACTTAGAGGCACAATACATTAAGCAAGCAATATCTGCCTTTCCAAAAAAACTCGTATTATCTACAAAGTTGGAAACTGAATTTTCTATAACAAAAATCTACAGATAACTATAGCACAATAATGAGTCTTTTCTATTATGGGAGACGCTTGGAGACATCATCCCAATTAATGACATCCCAAATAGCCTTGACATAGTCTGGCCTTACATTGCGATACTGAAGATAATAAGCATGTTCCCAAACGTCAATACCCAGCAATGGGACCAATCCTATCAGGGGAATGAATATAATAACATTTGGAAAGAGAAGAGTATAATGTACCGTATAGCCGAAAATTATCGTGGCCCAAAATTTTCATGGATTTCACGTTTTTGAAAATTCACAAAAATTAAAATTTGTGAAAATTGATTCAATACGGTTTTAAGATGGCCAAAAAGTAGAAAACCACAAAATTAAAGCCATGAAATTGATTTTTGAACAGATCCGCGAAATTTATGGGCCACAAAAATTTTCTGCTATGTTGTAGTCATAGTATAAATGCAATACCATTACCACTGTTAGATCTAGAGGGAGTTTAAGAGACTTTTGGTCTAGGTCTCCTGAAATCTCCTTTTTTATATTTTGGTCTCTCATATTTACCCCTAGGTATCCCCTTTCTAGTTAGATTTGTCTCCCAAAAATAATTCCTAGATCTAACCACACACAATACATGTGTGTATAATGCATACTAGAACACAGACCCAAAATTTCTAGATCCAACAATGACAATTGGAATACAACACAGTACAAATGCAATACCAGTAGTAGCTTGGAGTGGGTCTTGGTTGGGACATGTTGCAATTTGTAAACGTCCAGTTACTTGATTAAATCCCTCAGGAAGTAGAAAAAATAATAAATTATATATTTCACGGCTCACATGAAAGTCTCCACCTTACCAGCCATCCCCACCCAGATCCTTGTATAGCCACAGTTCTGGCTGTTAGCTGTGACTTGAACTCATCAAAAGATCCAAAATCTCTTTCAATTGCTTCCATCAACTTGCCTTTAAAAATAAAGAAAAATATAATTGCTGGGAGATTAACATGTATCAGAAAATGTAATTAAAATTTGGGGTGATTTCGGAGCCATTTTTTGGAAAAAATTATGGGCTATAGCCTTTGCTCTGTTTCAAAAATTGGCCTCTTTTTAAAAATGCTCATAACTCAAAAATAATTTGTCGGAAACAGCTCAAACTTTCTGCATAGCATAAGGACATCAATACGTATCAGAAAATGTAATAAAAATTTGGGGTGATTTCGGAGCCATTTTTTGGAAAAAATTATGGGCTATAGTCTTTTTCAAAAATTGGCATGTTTTTAAAATGCTTGTAACTTTAAAAATTTAAGTTGGAATCAGCTCAAACTTGCTACATAATATTATATAACGATATCAATATGTATCAGAATATGTAATAAAAATTTAAGGTGATTTCAGAGCCAATTTTTGAAAAAACCAAGTACAGGATATTTAGTCAAATTTTTGAGCAACTTCAAAAATTCATAAAAAATTAAATCTTCATCAGAATCAAGTTGAAATTTTAAGCACATGAGATCATTTATATGCATCAATTATAAAGAATTATAAAAAAATTATCAAGAATTCTTTCCTAGCCATTTTTGACAAAATACCATGGGCTATAGTACAGGGTCCTTTCTACATGTAGCCAAAAATGTACAAATCAATTTAGTATAATATTGGAATAACGTGTTCCTAAATACCTTGTGGAGTCCCTCCTCCATTAGGAGAAAGATTATTCCAGAAGATAGAATGGTTAATGTGACCGCCACCATTAAATCTGTATGCCCCCTCTAACGCAACAGCACCACTCACATCACCTAACGGAAGTGTCAATAAGAGAAGACACACCTAACTAATTATGCATAATGTGAACCCAATACACCCTCACATTAAAGCATTTATTTATTCTATAACTATTACGGTACACACTCACCTGCTTCCAAGCATTCTTTCATTTTCCCTTCAGTTGCATTCAAGTTGTTAACATAGGTAGCATGATGCTTGGTGTGGTGTAGCTCCATTATATCACCACTTATAACGGGCTCTAGGGCCTTGTAGCCATAAGGCAGCTCTGGAAGGACGTGCTTGTGTCTCCTTGAGATGGAGGAGAGAGATGAGAGACTGTTCTTCCCGCCAAAGAGAAGAAAACTTCGAGTTGCAGAGAGCATGATTTTTAATTACTGCTTTTGTGCTTTAATTAATTGAATGTTAATAAGAGTATACGGGAGTGTTCGAATATTGGGTAGACTAGATCTAGTAAAATTGTAATTAAAGTATTAATTATAGTTTGTGCATTGTTTGCAATCATCTTGCAATCTTGGATAACATTGCATTAATGATTAATCTATTCTAGTTAGACAAAGCCTAAAGTCTAATGCATTGAGCTTCCTGCTGATGAAATTAGTCTGCTTAGCTCGCTGCAATTGTACATGTCAATTTTTGAAGACAATGCATTATATAAATGCACACTCTCTCTAAATCTAAAAATAAAAATATCTATTGCTATGTAATATGCAAAATATGCTACTAGCCCTAATGGCTCAACTGCATGCATTCATGCAAGGTAGCATTCATTTGACATACAGTTCATAAAATGTTAGTTTAATGTCTTCAGTGTGTGTTCCTTGATCAACACACAGCCTCATCTCAAGGTAGTCAGTAGTGGGAGCATCAAGTGTCTTGTTAAACCAGGGGAGTCTGGAATCAGAGCAACAACCAGCTTCAGGAGCATCGCATCCTTTACCATCCCAGAGTGGATCAGTAGAATAGAAAATTGGATCCCAACTGTCAGTGGGGTTAGCTGATTCACAGAAATAATCGTTTCCTATGAAATTTTGTGAACTGTTACCACCAGCACATGGACAATTGTCAAAGTAGCTTTTATTTGAGTGTACCCCAACTAGCAGTGACCATATGTGGTGACGAGGAGATTCTCCATGAGTGATGCTAACACCATCAAGATATACTGAGTCAATATTTTGTGTATTAGGATGAACAGCATCAGGTGTACCATATTGGTATCCTACTACTCTGCCACAAACTTGAGAATAGCTGATGCCATTTGATGAAAATTTCACTGAGTCACAAGTAGCTCTCATTGTATCTTTCTTACCACAAGTACGGAGTCCTGCAGATGAAAAGTATTGCAAACCAGAAGAACAGTTCTGAGAGCGATCAGACATATCCAGATATGCTAGTCTTGTCCATCCTCCTCCTGAACCACACAGTGTCTCCATATTACAGTAAGTGTAATATGAACTGGTACCACTAGCAGTGACCAATTGATACACACCAGATGGACTGTCAGGTTGTTCCTTTTTGATCTCCTTACAAGACCCAAGTAATGTCGTACTGCTAATGCTAGGTGTTGCATCAGTAGTATCAGCATTGGAGCTGGAAACTTGATTTGTATCCTCACCTCTAATGAGATCCAAGCAAAGTATACTTATCAAGAGCATCAATGCAAGACACATTAATATTGTTAGGATAATGACTAGTACAGTCCACGCTGATTGTTTTGATTTAGTACTTGGTGGCATCCTTTCCAAGCTTTGTAATTCATACACATTTTCTATTTGCTGAGAGCTGTTGGTTGCAAAACGAGATTGCTTGTCCATTTCTTTATGGCTCAGTGTAGATCTGAAAGTGTTTGCTTGCATGATGGCTTTTATAGATGGAAACACTATCACAATCAAAACACTAGATCTATCATAAAATAAACTCTGCTTGATGCTTTTGAAACTAGTTACACAGAAAAACTGCCAAATCATTATTTTTGTTTTATGTATTAATAGTGAAAAATATATAGACTTATTACTTTATAAGTTTAGAAAACATTATGACAAAGAAACATCAATGGCATTCATGAAGTAGAATAACAACTTGTGAATTCTAGATATCATATGCCACACCCTAATCCTTTGTAAGGTTGGATCAAAACCTTCCTGTCCCTCAATGGATGCTGATGAAACAAAGAACCTCTATGAAGTTACTGAACTACAAGAATATGATGCCAACAAAGGCTCTTTCCCGTCTCAGCCCATTAAACTGCAAGTCCAGCAGCCACCTGCATCCAAAATACCCACAACAGCAATAGTTGGAGTTATAGTGGTAATAATGTTCATCTTAATCATCTTAGTTATTGTAACAATTGTTACATTAACACAGTTGAATGCACTGCAGGTATGTGAGAACTCGAATGGTCTTTCAGGAGGGACACCCGGAGGAGGTCTTGGAGTAGGTGGAGATGGATGTACTGCTTGCAATTTGAGCCATGATATAATCCAGCAGATAGAAACCATACTTAATGTAACACGAGAAACATCCAACAAAGTTGAAAATTACACGTTAACAAACAAAGCCTCTAGTGATAATTTTTCAAGCCTTGTTACACAGCTGCTTCAGGACACTGCTTGGAAAGTTGACGACATAAGAAGTTCAACTAATGAGCAAATGTCTTTCCTTCAAAATGTCACTAGCACTCTTTTCCAGGTACTCCAGACAACGGAAGATTCTGCCACAAAGCTCATGAACATAGTCAGCACTCTTTCTAGTATACAAGACACTGGTAGCTCTACTGCTGGAGTGGTAGATGATATACTAGTGATAGTTCAAGAATTGCTTGCTCTACAAAATGTGTCCTCGTTGCTTAATTCCGTTTTGCCTGTCTCTTGTCAAGATATCAAAGCAACTCTACCAAGCAGTCCTTCCGGTTATTATCATATTAATAGTCGGAATGTTTACTGTAATATGGAAGAGTTGTGTGGTTCAGGAGGAGGATGGACAAGACTAGCATATCTGGATATGACTGATGCTACTCAGAACTGTCCTCCTGGATTTAGACTGTATCAATCAGGAGGAGTTAGAGCTTGTGGAAGGCTAAGCACTTCTCCAAGCTGTACTTCAATTACATTCCCAACTAATGGAATAAGTTATACTCAGATTTGTGGCAAAGTAATAGGATATCAGTATGGATCGACTGATGCAATATTGCCTCACACTAATGGCCAACACAACAATCTTGATTCCTACTATCTTGAAGGTGTCAGTATCACTCGTGGGTCTCCTCGTCAACATGTCTGGTCTTTAATGTCTGGCCCTTACTCTATAATAAATGACATTTCAAACTGCCCCTGTAATACCAACTCATGGCAGGCTGGTCAAATACAAAGCTTTGTAGGTTCTCACTATTACTGTGAGTCAGGGAATCCAGCCAACACTTGGACAGCAAGCCTCTATTATAACGATCCTCTTTGGGATGGTCAGGACTGTCCCTCACTCGAAGCTCCTTGTTGCACTAATCCCAACCTTCCATGGTTTCATAGAGACTTTGGAAATGCATCGTCGACTGATTATCTTGAGCTGAGAGTGTGCAGTGATGAAGGATGGACTAATGAAGATTCACCTGTTGGCTCATATGAACTTTATGTTAAGTAAAACTGAACTGCTGAATGCTGCTATAATATATTAGCTAATGTAGTGTTAAATGCTGTTTAATGCCAGTAGCTTTTGTATGCTGATTTATAAAATATAGTCTATACAGTTGGATTGTTTACAATGTATGTAAAAGATAGTGATCAACACAGAGCAATAAATATAATTATTGAAGCAAAAGTCTAAATATAGTAGCAACAAATTGTGAATTTAATCATAGCACCTTAATTTAACAAAACAGTGAAGACACCACCCATCATCCACTGATTATTTGAGAGTGTGTGGTACATGCAGAGAGAAACACAGATGAAAATGTGCCTATTCATATACATATGAGATATACATCAAGTAGATGTACGTACCTTCTACCTTGAGGGAAATGCAATTCATGCTTTCTATTCAAATGTATAATTATTGTAGCATGCTAAAGTCTAGAGTATAATTTGACTTAAAATCCATAATATTTCAGATAGACCTCTGTCGATAAATTAACTTTACAATAATTCTGATAACTAATGTTTGTGGATATCTGACAAGTTACATGTTATGTTCAATTTTATAAGCATAAAGTTGAGTTTGGTGCTGCTCTACCTCCTCTAGTAGGCAAAGTAAAAAATGATTGAGAGGATTCTTGAATAAAATAATATTTTTATTACTAATTGTTGCTTATCGGTATTATATCAATTCAATACACAACAATTAGTAATAAAAATGTTATTTCATTTAAGAATCCGCTCTATCATTTCTTGAAGTCACTCAATGCTTTATTGGTATGCCATTCAGTTGCATTATAACCCATTAAATGGGTTATAATTTAACTAAATGGCATATCAATAAAGCATTGAGTGTCTTTAAAGATGGACTCCTTCATATTGGATACACTCCTAAAGCTGCTAAAGTGAAGGCTCAACTCTAAAATGTAAAAAAAATTGTGGGATTTTTAGTAATTTTGTGCTGTCTTTAATTATTATTCTTTTGATTATAGTACTACATGGATGGACAATGTACATGTATTATTTTCATCAAAATTGCTTATGAGTTTTCATTGTATTTTTTTGATACTTCCACAAAGTCTGAGAAATGAATCATTTAAAAGCATGTACCTGTGAGTGTGTTATATCATAAGGATATATCTGAATATGAAATCAATATTGAGTAAACTGAATTTGGAATTGGACCTGCTGGTATACTGAATCTATTATATGCATGTCTATAAAATAGATGTCTTGTTGCAGCACAATATTCAATCATGAATCATAGCAATCAGCTCAATAATCAAAACTTTTTGGGTTTTGATCACCCTAAAATTTAATATTATAGTACTCACTCGCCTCCTCCTGATGCCCTCTGAATATGTTCAATGAAAAATTCATTGAAAATAGACACTATGACATTTAAAAAAAGAAGCATACATAAGTCAATGAAGGTGTAAAAGAAATTTAAAAAAGCATAATCTATTCTTAATTGCTTTATAATAAAGGAATGAACAACAAGTTTCTTTATGCATTCGAACTATCTACATACTATCTACATGTAGGGTTAGCCAATTCACAGAAACAATCATTTCCTATAAAACTTTGCAGATTGCTACCACCAGCATATGGACAATTGAGTAATTGTGCAATGACAATTGTGCAATAGAAATCAGTTCTATTTTTGCAACAAGTTGCTCAAAAGATCAAAGTAACCGCAAATGTTGCTAGCATAATGATGCCTGGTGTATGGAGGGCTTTAGAGTGCCTTTAAAAATAATTTTATAAAAATTCAATTGTGATTAGAATGAGCTCAAAATATTATGCAACATATTACAACAACATATTATTTTGTGAGCTGGTATCTATGCTTAAATTAGTGAGTGATCCACGGAGCTGTCCTGTCCCTTCCCATCCCGTAAAATGAGCTCAAACTTTCCATGCAACATAGGACATGTACACTGATGTATCGGGAAAATTTTAGAGTAGATAAAATAATTTTATAAAAATTATTAGAATGAGCTCAAAAATATTCTGCAACATGTATAAAATTAATTATTTAAAGTAATTTTGTGAGCTGGCCCGTAAATGCTTAAGGGAGTGATCCGCGGAGCTGTCCTGTCCCGTCCCATTCCACTCACACGAGGTCTCACATTGGGTAATGATGGGTTCAGATAAGAAGAGCAAGAAAGTAATTTAGCCCGATTTTAGTATACTGCCCATATCTTTTTTTTTGCTATAAACAGGTATTGAATGATGTGGCGAAAATGAAGAAGTCAGAGAAATCCAAGAAGACCAAGGACGGTGGTGAAGTAGTAGTACCAGAAGTACTTAAAGCAGATAAAAAGAAAAAGAAGGCAAGTAAGGTATTAATGACATGGCTTTTACCATCACCTAGAGTAATAAAAAACTAAACCCTATACCAAACAATAGACCACCCATCGGACCACATAGATTGAGAATTACTTGCGTGGGAAGACTTACGGTTGTAAGGCGTAGTTTAGGATGATACAAATTCTGGCTGCCATTTTGGTTGGCAACTTGCAATGGAGAACAAATGGGCCTACATAAAAAAAATCCTTTATTACGAATTCTGGAGTGGATTAGACCAAATCTTTTGTAATTAAGAGAAGCTTAAAGGCAGCTTATTTTTTTATAACAAGCACTTTTCAGCTTTTAATGAAGCTACAGCAGGTACATGTAAGTGAGGCATTTTCTTTGTACCTCCATTGACTTGCATAACAAACTTTCTAAACTATAAATAAAATTAATGAAATTTATAGCTTTTGCAATTCTCACTCTGGGTCATCTATAGCTAAGTAGGGGGCTCTTAAACTATTTGAGCCCTTTGGGTGCCAGATATTCTAGTTGATCTGCTTTATGATTTTATGGAGTTTTGAGTTACAATGGTATAACTTATAAAATGAATAAATTGAAAAATTATGAAAGTCAAGTGGGAATTATAAATCTTACCTTTTGAGGTTATAGCACCACTAGGAGCAGACTTTGGTTGTTTTAGCCAATGTACAAACTACAAAAGGATACTAGTCTTATGTATGGGATATCCACACTCTTTCTGTAAATTGCGGGCGAAATATAATTTTGTTAAAGAAAAATGGCAAAACTAATGTAATGTTATATTTTTTAGAAGGTAGAGAAGGCAGCACCTCAATCTACATGTACGAAGAGTGGTAGCAAGAAGGTGACTAAACTCAAGGAGGAAAGCTCTAGCAGGATTTCAGAAGTGGGAGAAATTGAGATTTCAGAGATGGCCGCTCTTCCCACTAAGGCTGTTCCTACTAAGGTAATGTAATGTGTTTTTAAAATCCTATTCACTTATTATTAATTTAGTATCATAATTTTGTCATTGCATTTAAACATACATGTATATCCATAAAAATTTGCACAATTTTGTTTTTGCAGCCAGCGATACGGTACACTGTATCGTAGTCTTGCTCTCTTAAACAAAAGAAGGAAAGGATGAAAGTAGTAGTAGCAGTAGTATACATAGTAATGTTGAACCTATTGTGTTACTGAAATTTATCTGCATGCCCGTTGCCCACAAAATTGCAGTGTCACTCGTTATTTTGTGTCAATTTATAATCACAGTTAAAATTGGTCCATGAGTGGCTATCCACAGAATTATATGTATTAAAATTGAAAACGTAAAATACATGTATAATACATAATCCATCTGTAATGGTACATGTGTGTAATTTGAGTGTGCCATTTGCTTTGGATCAAATTTAACTTGTATAACTGCGACCTAGGGGCTAGTTTTATTCTAGTACAGAATTGTATTTTTGTTCTAGTTCTAGTATTTTTTACTAAAAGTACACTAGTTTAGTTTTAGCCCTAGTTCTGTGACAAGAAATACAATAATTAGTTCTAGTTCTCTGACAATGAATACGACAGTTTTAGTTCTAGTTATTTGATTATAAATACACTGAATTTAGTTCTAGTTTGAGTACTTTTAATTTAATTTTGTTCTAGTATTAGTTTTGAACTAAAACCTTCAACATTAAGTTTCACTCATGCTCAAGACTGCAGTAATTTTAATTTTAGTAGCAGCTCTAAAATAAAATCTTATAGTGTATAATTTTTGTTATATGAATAGTTATGTTTCAGATGTACATGTAAATGCAGCATACAAAATAGTATTTAATAAGTTTTACTGATACCAATCAACTTGAATCAAGCTATCTATAACAATTGAAATGTCAGAGGTATATACAGTAATATAATATAAGTAAATGTCACAGCTAGGTAATTTACCCATGCTTTAATTGACTAAAAGCATGTTAACCTGTTATTTTTGTCATAACTTTTAATTGTAGTCTGTAACCAATATTTTGAATTTGTTTTTTTAGCGCGTGAAAGAGCAAGCAGTTAAAGACAAGAAATTTAAGAAGCCAGTAAGGATTTACACATAGTTGAGGGTTTCCCATAGGATTTTAGAATAACGCTCATGTACATGTACCTTCTTATTAGGGATTGTCATAATTATATCTGAATATTAAGTCTATTTAACTGTTTTATTATCATATTTAGAAGAAAAGGCCAAAGAAGTTACATGTAGTACAGTCTTCAAAGAAGGCTAGCAAGAAACAAGCAACCGAAGCGGAAGAGGATACCTCAAGAAGTAGCTCTGATTACAAAGACATGGAGATTGTTACAATTGGAAAGAAAGCACCTCCAGCCAAGGTAAAGTTTATTAAATCCAAATGTAGAGCTTTTTCATCAAGGTGGGTTGACATTTTTGGTTTAACTCTATTGCCTTACATGCTTTAGAAGGTCAAGCAATATTTTTGTTTGAGCTGGCCTATACAGATGTATTGTAAATCTGCTTTTTTTTACTGCTTTTTAAAAATCTTGTTATTGCCTTATCATGTATACCAAAATGTAGATGTAATGGCATTTTTAACTTGCATGTCTAAACCACTTCTGAAAACATTGTGTTACATAACTTTATTAATTCTGTCTTAAACAGAAGAAGGATGACAGCAGTAGTAGTAGTGATGAAACTGATAGTGAAGATGCAACTCCTCCTAAACTGGTTGCTAAACCTACTAATGATGCTAAAGACAGTGATTCATCTGATGACTCCTCTTCTGATGATGACAGTGTAAGAGGTTTAAAATTAAATTGTAAATAATTCAAAGTTGCTCTGATGCTAACACCACTGTTCAACTCGAAAGCAACGTTGATACTTGATAATGTTGTCAAGTCTGTGGCTCAATTGATTCTGACACGTTATCATGTAACTACAAACTTGCTTTCAACAAAGTTGAATGGTTAATGATGGGCTCTTTAGTATTATGTGTATTTTTAGGAAGAGACAAAGGAACCAGCTAAAGCCGGTACTAAAAGGAAGCAAGAGGAATCAGAGAGTGACAGTGATAAGAGTGAAACTCATAATGTGCCACAGGCCAAGAAAATTAAAAAAGGTATTGAGTATTATTATTGTTATTATTATTATCATCATCATTATTGTAATTGTGACCTTGAGGCAAAGGCCCGAGGTCAGTTTTTGTTAAAGTTTTTACCAATGTGCAATGTACATGTATAGCTACTTGTTAGTTTATATTGTTCTTTTTTCCATTGGTGTATGTGGCTAAAAATAGTCAAAAAGTTTAGCTATGCTCATCTTTTCGTGTCCTTTTAATCATATCTTGTCCCATACCTTCTTTCATGCTAATACCGTATAGCTGGTTTTTTCGAGGATAATAAATTTCGCGAATGACCCATATCCGGAAGTTTGCAGAATTAATTTTCGCGAATTTCCACTAATCTGCCATCTTGTACCGTATTATATTGATTTTCAAGGAATTTAATTTCCTGGATCAGAAAAAAATCCGTGAAATTTGCGAAATTTGTTATCCTCGAAAAAAACCTGCTATACGGCATCCCCTGTTTTGGTAGCCCATGTGGTGTACAGGTGGTTGTAATTTTGTTTCATATGCCTGCGCGGTCACCATGCATGGGCAGCAATAATTTCATTGAGTGTTCTCTAAGTGCCTGCTTTGATTACTTTTCTCCTTTTCTACAACTGTGCTCTAGTTGTATGATATATCAAAATACTGGCTCTTTTAAGGAAAAAACAATAAAAAACCACATGTAAAATAAGAAAGTTATTTGAATTATAAGTTGACAAAGTCAGTGTGATTGTGGTATAGTTGGCTTTTGAATTAATATACATGCAAATGCATTTGCATGTATGTTAACACAAATGCATTTCCTCAAGCTGTCCATTCACTTATTATGCACATGAAAATGGAAGTTGAAAATAGAGGGTGATTCTGAAGCCAATTTTTGTTATCTCTTTATTCTCTTGCTGATTTTATTTGTATACTGCATAATGTTGATATATTATGGTGGTCATGTGTTAACCCATCAATAATTATTGTCTTTACCTAAATTTGTTAAAAGTAGATGGCAGTGAATAGGATTGTTGATGATTGTGGTTCCCCAAGTGTTGTAAAAAATGTTTGAATTATTGGACATTAATATTTCCACCATTACAAGATGGTTGAAGACTTGAAGAAAACTATTTGGGTTTACTGTACTATTTCTATTGTTAGGTGGATTTGGTAGTATAGGAGGCCAAAGCATGTCTAAAGCTAGTGAACCAGTAAGTGATATACATGTATGATGTGTGTTAAAAGACACTTGTCTGTTTACAATAGGAGCTACTGAGCAACCTCCGGGCCATTCATGAAACGATACGGTCACTCAATGAACAAATTAAGCTTGTCAGTGAAAAGATAAGCTGTTATCAGGATGTAAGAAAAAGTTTTTGGACAAGTTATACGGAAACAAATGTGCCCGAAACAACATCATGGGAGCTTAGTATCATTTGGGAACTTGATAATGTAATGATACCTTCTTTAAAGAATCATGAATCAATGATGATGAAATTGGAATTGGAAAAGTGTGCTCTACAATCATTATATAAGGGGTTTGTTTTCAGAGTCTTAAGTGATGACAATAATAAAAAGATGTAAGTAAATTTTTGTATTTTTAATGTCATTGATATTAATTAGATAGGAAGAATGGAAAACGGTTGATAAATATGATAAATTGCACAATATTACATAGTGTTTTTTAAAATACTTGTAATTACATGTATTTCTAGATTCTAAGCAATCGAGCTAGTCCCAGAGTACCATATTTTACCGATTAAATGCCCAGGGGTTCATTTCTTAGCAGCAAAAATAAAAAATAAAAAAG